TGTGGGGCCAGCGTCCTACTCACTAAGCCATAGGTGCCACCCAGTTGATAGTTTTAACACCTGAAAATCTTTAAAACTTGTACATATGTAAAACAATTAACAAGGAGATCTTATCAAAATTTGCATATTTCAATAAAAACAAGGGACCAAAGGGGTATGAGGTTAAAGAAAGTGGTACAATTAAGGGAACAGATCAAAAGATATGGAACTGTATTCTACTCTGTAATATATAATTAAGTTTTCTATAAGGATTAATTTAACAAATAAATTCCTCTTGATTTAAAGAAATGTTTTGTGTAAAAAAAATTCTAAATGAACAAGACAGAAATAATATATATTTAAAATAAAACCATCTTGATTAATCTTCAAAAGCTTTCTTACATTTTATAATAAACAACTCTTTGATATTTACCACATTGTCATTTCAGTATAATATTTTACAACCTGCCTTAAAGGCCAGCATACAATAAATCTATTTTTAAAAACTTTATAAAAACTTGGAAATTAAACTTACTATTTCTTTCTGTTCTCTTGGAAAAGAAGAAAATAAGCACTGTTCTTATGCTCCAGATGCTAAAGGGGAAGCAAAATTCAGAAATGAAAACCATCATTAGAATAAGTTAATTAGAAACCATACAAAACAAAAACAAATACATATTTCCAATTAAAGTTTGGCATTTGTTTCCTTTTATATATCAAAAACTACTTCTTTCTGTCAGACAACATCAGAAGTCTACCTATGCTTGCAAAGGAGGAGTTCTCAACATCAAGTCCACAGACTTGCTAAGGGTTTCCTTATATTGCAAAATTGCCTTTGTATGCAATAAGTGTATTTCTCTGGAGAAAACACTACTTTCATCAATCTAAAAGGGGTCTATGAATTCTCCAAAAGATTGAGAACAATATTATAGAATACCTTCTTACTAAGTATCAAATCCAAAATTTGTCTCATCTATGGTTATTAAGAGAAAAGCATATTCTGTTTTTATAAAAGAGCATTGTATAAACATAAGTTGCTACTCCTTAGAGGGATCATCTCTACTCAATAGAATAAGCTAATGGGGGTTTGTGGGGGAGACAAAAAAAACCTTACCTTTAAAAATACTTAGTAATATTCTTCTTTTAGTAAAGTATCACAAGAATGGAAATGCAAGTAGCCTATGTACTCAATACTAACATGAATCTAACAGAAAAACAACTACATGCCCATATGCCAGAATAACCCAAGTATATTGAAGTGGGAAGAGGGGGAGAGCGAAAGGGGAAGGAGAGGAAGGGGTTTGGTAAGCTCTCATCTGATGGACACATTGTGAAGGTGTACAGCACACCCCTTGGATGAAGGGCTTGAGCTCAAATACAAACTGAACTTTACCTTAGAAACACAAACAGGCTCTGCGCTTGTAGAGCAGCAGCTAGGGCGCCAGCACATACACCAGAGCTGGTGGGTTCGAACCCAGCCAGGCCTGCCAAACAATGACAACTACAAAAAAAAAAAAAAAAAAATAGCTGGGCATTGTGGTGGGCGCCTGTAGTCCCAGTTACGTGGGAGGCTGAGGCATGAGAATTGCTTAAGCCCCAGAGCTTGAGGTTGCTGTGAGCTGTGACGCCAATGTACTCTACCAAGGG